TTCTGAGAGGAAGGCGGCAGGCGGGATTGCAACCCGTAGGACCGCAGCAAGACTCTGTGGGGAGTCAGCCCACCGATTGCGGGCTGTCTCTTATACACATCTAGATGTGTATAAGAGACTCCTCCTCCTCCTCGCCATCTTTCCTTCTTCTTCTTCTTCTTCTCCTCCTCCCCTTCTCCTCCTCCTCCTCGTCATCTTTCCTTCTTCTTCTTCTCCTCCTCTTCTCCTCCTCCTCCTCCTCGCCATCTTTCCTTCTTCTTCTTCTTCTTCTGCTTCTCCTCCTCCTCTTGTCCTCCTCCTCCTCCTCCTCTTCTCCTCCTCTTCTCCTCCTCTTCTTCTTCCTCTTCTTCTCCTCCTCTTCTCCTCCACTTCTTCTTCTCCTCCTTTCCAACTCCTCGTCGTGCAGTATTCGACGCACGGCTGCCACGTCAGCACGCGCTTTTTTTTTCTTTTTTCTCTTCTTTTCTTCTTTTCGTTTTCTTCTTCTGTTTCTCCTACGCCTCCTCACCCTCGTCATCTTCTCCTTCTCCTCCTCCTTCTCCTCGCCATCTTTCCTTCTTCTTCTTCTTCTCCTCCTCCCCTTCTCCTCCTCCTCCTCGCCATCCTTCCTTCTTCTTCTTCTTCTCCTCCTCCTCCGAAGGTTTCCCACACCGAAGGTTTCCCCTTGCCTTTGAGACCCCCTCTTCTTCGCAGCCGCAGCCTCCACGTGCCCCCTTGGATGGGAACTCCGCCGGGAAAACCGATGACGTGGCATGCTCTGCAGAGACCAGAACAGATCGACACCATCCATTCATATCGCCGGAGCGAAATGCATCGAGGGTGCGATCGTCGAAGACAATAGATCGCTTGGGATCCCAATTCAGGGGTGTCGCGGAAGCTCGATTGGGCAGACTGGCTGACAATCGGGCTGGTAATAACGTCCCCTTATGCGATGTCAAGCAAGTACTACAGATCTCCATGCCCAACGGTAGGTGGAAAATGGGAGACACCCGAGGAAACGGAGCTGTAGAAGACGATAGAGCACTCGCAGCATATGATTCCTTCGGAGAGACAGGCCCGGTAGGTAACGTCTGTCTCTTATACACATCTAGATGTGTATAAGAGACAGAGTCAGGGGTTACGGCCTTGTGGACCTAGCGGTGATTTTGTTTGTGAGCGTGCGAAGGATGTCATGCTTATTGTGGAAGGGCTGGTAAATGCCTT